TAGCTTAGAATGAAATAAATCGTACCAAGGTTCGGACTCGACCTCAGCGTAAAGCGGAATAAATTGTACCAAGGTTCGAACTCGACCTTGGCTTTAGAGTGAAATAGATCGTGCCAAGGTTCGAACTCGACCTCGGCTTAGAGTGGATAAGTCCTACTAAGGTTCAAACTCGACCTCGATTTGATGTAAGGTAACTCTTACTAAGGTTCGAACTCGACCTCGATTTGACGTAAGGTAACTCTTACTAAGGTTCGAACTCGACCTCGATTTGACGTAAGGTAACTCTTACTAAGTATCAACAATACAAAGAGGTTAGAATCCCTAAGAGCGAGATACGTCAGCGTAAAGTGAAGTAGATCATGCTAAGGTTCGGATTCGACCTCGAATTCAGCATAAACCATCTTATGGTAAAATAATGTAAAATTAAGAAAGTATGAATGGAAAAGAATGAGTTATTTTATTGATTGCATATATGTGCCTCGTTAAAAACCCTCTCAACCAAAACCCATTTTTCTGTTTTTTTGGACAAAAAGCTGAGGCGGGAAAAGAGTGCACAGCTCATTCTTACAAGTTCAGCTGAAATAGAATTTAAGATGTGTGGCATTCCAAGTCCGCGGAATGACTTTGCCGCTGAGTTCTTCTAGCCTGTATGCCCCATTTTCTAGGTCTTCTACAACTCAGAATGGGCCCAGTTGGGTGCAAGCTTTCCGTCTGATGCGTCTTTCCGTGCTTCGCCTAACAGTCGCCATACCAAGTCGCCAACTCGGAAAGAGCGAGGTCGTACTCGCGTATTGTATCTTCTGGAAGCTCGGAGCTTGCAGGCTTCTTCATGGATTTGAGCTTCGTCCTTGAGCTCGTCAATTAAGTCGAGGTCAGCTGCTAATTCTTGGGCGTTCTGCTCGCTGTTGAAGACCTGGCGTCGGTGAGATGTCTCTCCGATTTCATCTGGAATCATTGCGTCAGCTCCGTAAGTCAGCCTGTAAGGCGTTTCTTGCGTTGTTGACTGGGGGGTGCAATGGTATGCCCAGAGGATGCTGGGAAGCTCATCGGCCCATTGTCCTTTGGCGTTTCCTAGCCGTTTCTTAAGCTCTCGGAGTATTACCTTGTTTGCAGCTTCAGCTTGGCCATTGGTCTGTGGATGTTCCACTAAGGTCGGGAGGTGCTTGACTTTGAGTTCCCGGAGGAAGTCTTCGAAGCTCTGCGCAATGAATTTTCGGCCGTTATCAGTTACAAGGGAATGGGGGATTCCGAACCTGCATACGATGTTCTTCCAGGTGAACTTCTGCACGTTCTTAATGGTGATCTTGGCTAGTGGGCATGCTTTGATCCACTTGGTGAAGTATTCAATTGCCAACAGGAGGAATTTGAGCTGACCTTTTACAGGGGGGAACGGTCCTAGGATGTCCATTCCCCACTAGGCGAAAGGCCATGGCGACATCATCTTGTGGAGGGCTTCGGGTGGCTGTCTATGCGTATTACCGAACTGCTGGCACTCTTTGCATTTTTGCACGTAGGCTTGGCAATCCGACTTCAAAGTGGGCCAGTAGTATCCAGCTCAGAGTACCCTGGTCACCATCGAGCGTGCCCCAGAATGCATGCCACATATACCTCGATGGATCTCCTTGATGACATATGCGGCTTGAGGTGCAGTTAGACATTTGAGCAAAGGGGTGGAGAGGCCGCGTTTAAACAGCTCGTCTCTGACAATTACGAACTTGGCTGACCTGACTCTCACCTTCCGAGCTTCATCCTTGTCCTCGGGCAAGATTCCTTCTTTCAAGTAATTCCAAATGTCTGTCATCCATCCTTGCTCTCCTCCGTCGCTGGTGGTGACGACCTTGTCATCCAAACTGGGTGAATGTAAGGTCTCTTGTATGATAGTCCGGTGTTGCCCGGGACGCTTTGTGCTGGCAAGCTTGGATAGGAGGTCGGCTCTTGCATTTTGCTTGCGGGGTACATGGTGGATTGTGAACTCGTCAAAAGAGGAGATTTGCTGGGTGGCTAGATGAAAATACCTCTGCAGGAGGGTGTCTTTGGTCTGATACGTTCCATTGAGTTGTTCCACCATGAGCTTTGAGTCGCTGTTGCAACTCACCCTTCGCGCTCCGAGATCGTGGGCTAACCTTAGCCCTGCTATAAGTGCTTCGTACTCTGCTTAGTTGTTCGTCACTTTGAAACCAAACTTGAGGGATTGCTCCAAAGTGACTTGGTTCGGTCCTTCCAAGATGATACCTACACCACCACCCTTAGAGTTGGAGGACCCATCAACATACAAAGTCCATACCTGTGGCTCCTTGACCGAGGTTGGCGTAAGTTCGGCCACGAAGTCGACTAAGCACTAAGCTTTCAAAGCGCCGCGGCTTTTGTACTGGATGCCGAACTCAGACAATTCGACCGACCATGCTATCATTCGCCCGGTGAGCTCTGGCTTTCGCAGGATTTTCTTGATTGGGTAGTCGGTCTTGACTACCACCTAGTGACTCTAGAAGTAAGGTCGGAGACGCTGAGCTGCGGTAACAAGTGCCAGTGCCAGCTTCTCTATCATCTGGTACCGTTTCTCCGTGTCTTGGAGTACTCGGCTGATGAAGTAGATTAGTGTTTTCACTTTCTGGTGCTCTTGTACTATAACTGCGCTGATAGCATTTTCAGCTACGACCAAGTAGAGGAGGAGGTCAGCTTTGTGATCCGGGCTTTGTAGGATTGGCGGGGTTGTGAGGAAGGCTTCGAAGCTTTTGAAGGCCTCTTCGCACTAGTCCGTCCATTCAAAATTTTGCGGCTTACACAGGAGGGTGAAGATGGGCCCCCCTCTTTCCGCCAGTCTGGGGATAAAACGACACAAGGAAACCAACCTTCCCGCCAAGCGTTGGACTTCCTTCATAGTTTGAGGGCTCTGCATCTGGATGATGGCTTTTCACTTCTCCGAGTTGGCCTCGATCCCCTTGTTAGTGATCATGAATCCAAGGAACTTACCTCCCTGGACACCGAAGATGCACTTCTCTGGGTTGAGGCGCATGTTGTGCTTCCTGATCTGGCTGAACACCTCTGCCAAGTCGGCAGCATGAGCTTCGGCTGAGGTGGTTTTGACTACCATGTCATCGACATACACCTCCATGTTCCGTCCGATCTGTTGGTAGAAGACCTTGTCCATCAGCCACTGGTAGGTGGCCCCTACGTTCTTGAGGCCGAAAGGCATCACTCGGTAGCAGTAATTAGCATGATCGGTGATGAATGATGTGTGCACCTCGTCAGGTGGGTACATCATGATCTGGTTGTACCCAGAGTAAGCGTCGAGGAAACTGAGGAGGGCGTGCCCGGCTGCTCCGTCGACCAGCCTGTCGATGCTCGGTAAGGGGTACGAGTCCTTGGGGCATGCTTTGTTCAGGTTGGTGTAGTCGACGCACATGCGCCATTTTCCCAAGCTCTTTTTTACCAATACCACGTTTGCCAGCCACGTGGTGTATCTGACCTCACGGATGAAGCTGGCATTCAGCAACTTTTCCTCGGTGATGATGGCTTCCCGCCTTTCGCCACCGACCTTCCTCTTTCTCTAGGCCACTGGCCTTGCCTCCTTGTGAATTGCTAACCTGTGATAGATGAAGTTAGAATCTATACCTGGCATGTCGGCGCTGGACCATGCAAAGAGGTCGGCGTTCCTGCAGATTTCAGCTTCGAGCTGTTGCCGCAACTCCAGGCTCAACTGCCTTCGTACCCTGCCCCGGAAGCTTCGCGATCTGGAGGTTATCAAGCTCGTCGATGGGACTCGGTCGCTCGTCATGGGAGTCGGACCTCGGATCGAGGTCAATGATGTCCACGTGGGTGATGTGAGCCACTGTGTGGGGATCACTCTGGCAACGCTTGTCAGATGAAGCAACCTTCAGACTTTCGGCGTAGCACTGCCGAGCTGTCTTCTGGTTTGCCTTGACGGAGATGATCTTGCCGTCACTCCCTGGGAACTTGATGGTGAGATGTGGGGTAGACACCACTGCTCCGAGTTGGTGAAGCGTCGGCCGTCCAATAATGATGTTGTAGGACGTGTGGGCCTCGACGAGGAGATATCGGACCATGATCCTCCTTGTGGCGGGAGAGGTTTCGAAGGTTGTCAGCAGGCCCACATATCCTCGAGCGTGTACTCGCTCTCCCGCACAACAGACTAGGGGCTCTGTGTGAGGTTGGATGAGAGAGTGAGGGATATCTAACTTGAGAAACGTCGGCCAATACAGGACGTCAGCCGAGCTCCCTTGGTCGATTAACGTCTTGTGGACCTCCCAATTGACTACCTCCACGGCGACGACCATTGGGTCATCCTGGTTAGGGCTGACGCCAACGTAGTCTTTGTCAGTGAAGGTGATTGGCGGGGAGCTTTGATGCGAGGCCGAGGTAGCGGAGTGGACGTTGTTGATGCTGCGCAAATGTCATTTTCGCGCCGAGCTGCTAGAGCCTCCCCCTGCGAAGCCACCTACAATTGTGTTGATGACGCCCCGCAAGGGGGTTGACCCTGTTTCCTGGCTTACCTCGGCCTGCACTACGCCACTAGTGTTTTGCTTAGAACTAGAGGGTTGGTCTGTGCGGGCTCCTGAACCACGACCTCTGCCCCGTCCTCGACCATTGTAGCTTCCTCTGTGGCCCTGCTGTCACTGGACGTACTGGCCGAGGTGACCCGCCTGAATGAGTTCCTCGGTACGGTCTCGGAGTGTGCGGCACTCTTCAGTGGTGTGACCGTGGTTTCTGTGGTATCGGAAGTGCTTGGATTTGTCTGCACTGTTGGGGCTGTGTACTGGTGGTGGCAGGGTGAGTAGGTTGCTGTTGCTGGCCTCCTCCAGGATATGTACTCGGGGCGCATTCAAAGGGGTGTAGAAGTCATATCTCCCCTTTTTATTTACCCTAGTAGTCTTCTTGAACTGACTTTCGTTGTTGACTTTCACCTTGTCCTTGTGACCATTGTCTGGTTTCGCTTGTGACTTCCCGCGAACCTGGTCACGAAAAGCGGAGTGCTCCTCCATCTATATGTCCCCTGCCGCTCGGGCACGGAGTTCATCCATATCGGCGGGAGCTCGGCGGCATAGGCTGTCCACAAAAGGTCCCGACTTGAGCGCCATGAGCATGGCATGCAGGGCAACTTCGGGATTCAGGTTTCGAATCTTGACCGAGATGCTGGCGAAGCGTTCCATGAACGCCCTCAGTGGCTCGTCGTCGCCCTGCCAGAGACTGGCCAAGGTGGCAGAGGTGACGTGGTGAGGTCGACTCGTGGCATACTGCGCCGTGAATCGCCTAACCATGGTGTCGAAGCTGTCGATTGATTTGGCGGGTAACTGGGTGTACCAGTTCAATGCAGCCCCCTTGAGCGAGGTCAGAAAAACCCTACACAGAACAACATCGTCGTTAGTGTAAAGGTTTACCTGTGTGACGTATAAGTCGACGTGCTCGTCCAGATCCGTCGTGTCGTCGTAGCAGTCGATGTGGAGGGGCTTCCAGCCAAAGGGCAGGGGTGTCTCCATGATGCCGTCCATAAAGGGATGGCAGCGGATGCTCGCCCGATTGCCTGGAGCCTGGGTTGGAGCAATGCTGACTTCATGGGCCGACCTATTCGTCGGTGCATGTGACCAGTGTGTAGCAGGCTGGGGGGTCGGTGCCCTAGGTGCTATTGGTGGCTGAGAAACCGAATGCCCCTCTTCCTCGTGTTGGTTACTCGGTTGAGGAGGTTGATCAGAGGGGCGCCGAGGGAGTTGAGCGCGAATACGCTCATTCTTGGCTCGCAGCGCCGCTAGGTCAGCTTCATTAGCGGTACGCATCGCTGCTAGGTCAGTTTCGTGCTTGGCACGCATGCTTTGTAGATCGGCGGTGTGTTGTTGTCGCATCTGCTCGACCTGTTCGATCAGTCGCCTCAACGCTGCTTCGTTGTCATTGGTAGTTGTGTGATCTAGGTCATCAGTTGCGCGTCTGCTATGGCTTCTGGTGAAAACCATAAGCGTGGCCGATAAGAGCTGTCTTGATTGGCCCCACGATGGGCGCCAAATGTTCTTACAGGAGATCTGTCGTAGAGATGATCCGCTGGGTAAGATCGGCGAGCCTCCTTCGCTGGTACGTTTGATGCTCCAAGATGGTGGTGGTACCTGCAAAAGAGACTCCGATGCTAAAGTTAGTGTTTGTGGATGTATGAGTCTCGTATAAGTAATGCACGTACCTGAGTATGAATTAGGGTTTTGTTGGGCCTTGGGCCTGAGATCAGTTATGACCTATTTGAATGTCGAGCTGACGTCGCATAGCGCGTGTCCGAGGTCACTTTGCGCTGAGATACCGAGTTCGAGCTCGGCATGGCGGTACGAATAGTACAAAATTTTTTAGATTCGTTACTAGTTCCAAAACACTACATTGTTTATTCAAGAAGAAGCTTTCACCAACAAACCTATTACAAGGTTAGGCTGAAGTGTGAGCTCTAAACGCATGACTTAACATCCTAAGTGGCTAGCATATTATTAGCGTGTTTGTTTTATGCTATTCCCGAATTTCAAAGCCACGTTCAACATAACTTCACTCTTTTGTAACTTTGACGTTGAACAGAACTAAACAAGAATACAAACATGCTGTCAGAACACTATTGGGGTCCAATTGCTTTCTAAAATATTTATTATGCATGTTTTTCATTCAATAATTCTTACACCATACACATGTGTAGTGCCGGATTAGTGTAGCTTCATTCTCTAATGTTTCTTATTTACTACTACTATTGAAAGGATAAAATAAAGTATTTCATGAATTCCCAGAATGTGGATATATGGGATATTGTCCAAGAAGGTCCTTACATTCCCATAATAAAGACCTTCAAAGAATAATCAAAAGCATTAATTAAGGAATAATCAAAAGCAAAAGGAACACTTTTCTACATATATATTTGACACCTCGAGTAAAGTGATTTCTTTTTTTATTTCTTGAACATGGCTTCTTAATCTCATACATTTGAACACGCACACAAAATTTAGCTTTTAAAGAAGTTAAATGAGAGATATTCTAGTTTGTGTTCATTATATTATTGGAGAAATATGTACCAACTTTATAGATAATTAATTTTTATTGAAGAAATTTAATTAATCATTTTTAGGAAAGTCTCGCATATATCCTTATTATGCTTTTTTTCTTTATCCACATGGCTTGAATATAAGAATTTACTTAATGTATTCAAGTATAACACCCGAAATTTATAAATTATTATTATTATTAAATAAATAAAACGTCATATGTTGCATCGTTATAATACACTACGAGGCGAACTATTTTTTTTTGTTAAGTTGAAATATATAAAGAATGCATATAAAAGTATAAATAAAAAAAAATAGATTAAAATCATATATAGGTATGGCAAATAAATTTGAACTCATGCATATTTGTTCAACCCTAACGAGTGTTTTTACAAAAAAGATTAGCTTAGATTGAGTTTGGAGTTGGGTTTCGATTCAAGTTTTTCTCGTCTTAAAGAATCAAGCTCAAATTTAGGGATGTAACCAAGGTTGATGCCGATATCTTGTGAGTCCTAGCTAGCCAAAATTATAAGTATGTGTACGTTTATATATATATATATATATATATATATATACACACACACACACTCATCCCAAAATAATCCTACATCCTAGTGCTGGTCAAGCACACCTATACAAGATATATCAGTAGTACCGCCATAAAAAAGTCACAACACTTGCTTATATCAACTTCTCAAACCTAGCCTTGATTTGTTTCCATACAACGTATGGTCATCACAGTCCAAACCACCTATATATATATATATATTTATAATCATGTTATTTGTAAGAAATATTTATCAACTTTCTTAATAATTAATTTTTGTCAAAAAACCTAATTTGTTATATTCATACAAGAGGATCAAGTATAATACCACTTAAACTAACAACTTATTAGAATGAACCCTTATATGTAAACATTTTAAAAATATAATCATTTACAACAAAAAAAAGTAGATAATTTATAAATAATTTAATTAAAAATGACTATACTGGTACATCTCCAAAATAAAATAACTTTTGAGGACAAAAAATGGTACATCTCCAAACTAGAAAGGCCAAAATTAGAAGAAGAAAAAATTAAAGGACTATAACTTCAAAAAAATTTAGAGACCAATATGACACCCTCTACTCTACATATAACTATAACAAAGTAGAAGATTCATTTAATTAAAAAAAATAAAGTTCATGCATAAATAATCAATTGGAAAACATCATGTATAGAAGGGAATATCACATAATAACTAAACTTATCACTACTCCAATAAAAACAAAATGAAAATAATTACAAAATAAGTCTAACATTACGTCCTAACCAAAAAATCAATTCCTAACAATGCCACATCCTATCGAAACATAACCCAACACAAGATTCAAGTCTCATCACCAACATCATCAATGCCACTCTAACTCATGGCATAAAACATAGTCAAATAGCCAACACACAACATCAAGATATATAACAACAAATTATAGTAATAATAAGATATAGCAATAACAATACATAACACTAACAAGGTATAACATAACATAATCAATTGTTGAGTCACAATACGGTTCATCATATGGTTACACATTCATATACATGATACCATGGACACGAACTTCAATGTGCATATGCATGTGACATCAGTAAGAACACATCGATTTTTCAATTTTTCATTTATGCATATGATGCACATGTCACACGAGACTCAATGCAATATCATGTCATCACGATGCATATTCACAATTTGCTATCGCATGACCCTCACAGAAACCACACACATTGGTTTTCCAACATCACTACCATTTCACATCATTTACAACAGCCATACCTCACAATATCATAAATTCATATTCAATCTATAATGTTTAATTATATACATCATTTACCACAAAAGTCATACATATTAATCACTAGTAGCTGGAAACATGGAGAAATACCAAGCACAAAATGGTGCCTAATGGCAGCCATCCCATGCCCGATGTGACGCACCCAAAGAGCATACGTTGCTCTTTGGACGACTTGAGCTCTGTGTGACTAACCTCATGCCTGATGTGAACACCTCAAAGAACTCCTTGAAGCTCTTGCACCTGATGTTTACTAACCCACGCCCGACACGAGTGGCACATAGAGCACAAAACGACACCCGACAACCCCAAGGTGGCACTCGACATCACATTAGAAACCCAACACTATAGGAAATGTGAATTTCATACAACAAGTATCAATTATCAACTTCACGATTCTAATAGGTAAAAACACTCCAAAACTCAAGTTACACTTCTAAAAGTCATAAATTACATATATCCATATTCTCATACCAACTCCTTATACAAATACCAAAATATATTCCCTTAAGGTTCCCATGGAAACACATGGATAATCCAAGATTCAAAAAATTAGTTTATTTCATGAAATTAAGCATACATACATATCAATAACATTAGATAGGTGAAGAATCATATGGAAAGAAAAAGCATGAGTTAGGTCACAATTTGGCTTTTCTACCTTATACGATGCACATCAGAGGAGAGATTAGAAGTCAATCTCACTACCCAATCATACATCTCATGTCCAAATTTAGATTACTTACTCCTCTTTTACCTTAGTAAATGCTAGACAAAGGGCACAAATCTCTAGAATGACTTCCAATGATCTCTAGAGTGATTTCCAACGATCTCTGGTTCTCCTAATTCTCCGAAGTGCAAAGCATAAAGAAGGAAAAAAATGAGAAGTAGTGTACACTGAAAACTCATATAACCCCTTCTTAATTCCTTAACCTACACTTAAGTCTTTAATAAAACAATTTAATTGCGATTACACTTCTCTTCCCTCAAAACATTAAAATAAAACATATATTTTTTAGGGGATTAAAATAAAACATATCTTTAATCAAAACCATGTAATTCATATAAATAAAATGCTCTTATAAAAATCAATCCAATTAATCATTAAAACATTAATTAATTATTTGTGAAAAATTTTAGAGTGTTACAACCAAAAATATATTTTATTATTTTATGAATATTATACAAAAAAAGAGATAATAATAAAAATTTATAATCATATCACAAATTTTACTTTTAGATATAAAAATGTATATATATACAAAAGATAGTTTTATTCTTAAAATAATATTAAAATTATCTCACAATTATATAATTTTTTTTTAAAAAAATTGTTTGGTTCCTCTTAGTCATGGGTCTAGGATGGTTACACCGTCAGATAAGCTCCCGGGCCAACCTTGTATGTAATTACTCACCTTGTCCTATCCTTGTACTCATCTAACTATTTTTATTTTATTTTGTAATTATTATTTTTTTGTTACAACATATTTGGTGAATATGATTAAAAAATTATGATGAATATGATTTCTTTTATATTTTTCAGTTACAACATTAGCCTTGATGTATTTATCCAACCTCACCACCACACTAATCACTGGAGTCAACCAAGAAATGAGATAGTTAAAGTAGTAAATATAGAATTTTAAATT